AAATGGAAGCAAACAGAGCACACAGCTTTGCACCTTGTTTTTTTGTTTTGCTTTTTTCACTTCATTTGTTTTGGCTATTTTTCAACAACATGGTATTATTTTTTAAAATGGCTACATAGTATTTTAGGAGCTCTGGTAGCATAGTGCCTAAGGCACTTGACTGCTAACCAGAAGGCTGGCGGTTCAAACCCACCAGCCACTCCTCGGAAGGAAGGTTGGGCAATCCTACTTCCGTGTAGTGATACTGCCTCGGAAACCCAAGGAGGGGTCGCTATGAGTCGGGGCTGACTCGATAGCAAATAACAACAACAACAACACATAGTATTTTACACAGTGACTAGCTAGCTGTATTTCATAAGTTCTCTGCTAATAAGCATGTATGGTATTCCCAGTCCTTTACTACCTTTAACTTCTTCTATCTTCCTTCTTGCCATGGAAGTGAAGGAAAAATCTGTGGCACAAATTCCTTGATGTGTATTTGCTGAGTCAAAGGTTATGCACAGTATACTTTTATTTTTTGCGAAAAGTATCTTTATGATAAGCTGCAGTAGTCACAAAGTCATATTCTCTTACAATTCCATCAGAAAAATTACAGTTGGTTTCTTTCTTTGTTCTAAGAATGAACACCTCACAATTTAAGGAGCGCTCGTGGCGCAATGGTTAAGTGCTCGGCTGCGGATTGAAAGGTCGGCTGTTTGAATCCACCACCAACTCTGAGAGACACCTGGTGATCTGCTCCCATAAACATATGCAACCTAGGAAACTCTGAGGGCGTTTATTCTGTCCTATAGGGTTGTTATGACTAAGAATAGACTCCATTGCACACAACAATTTTAACCTAAATTTTGTTAACTACAAGCTTATATAAGGAGCTCTGGTGGTATGGTGCCTAAGGCATTTGACTGCTAACCAGAAGGTTGGTGGTTCAAACCCACCAGCCACTTCACGGAAGATGGGGTAATCTACTTCTGTAAAGATTTACCGCCTTGGAAAAAGGGGCTGCTGTGAGTTGGAACTGACTCAATGGCAGTGAGCTGTTTCTTTCTTTTTTTTTTTAAATAAGCTTATGTAAACTTACTCCTGTAATATTTTTATTTCACATTAAAAACCCAATCGATCTTTTACTTCTACCATTTATCTTTTGAAAAACAATTACTGTAGAGAAATATATATAAAAGTTTGTGACCTTAACCATTTCTGAGTGTACAATTCAGTGACATTCGTAACATTCACCATGCTGTGCTACCATCACCAGTATTCACTTCCAAAAGTTGTCATCACCCCAAACTGAAACTCAGTAGTCCTTCAGCAATAACTCCCATCCCTCTTCCCTCCAGCCCCTGGTCCTCACGGCCATCCTCATTGCCTGTTGAATCAGATGCGACTCATAGCAACCCCTCCTTGGGTTTCCAAGGCGGAATCACTACGGAAGTAGATTGCCTCACCTTCCTTCTGAGGGGTGGCTGGTGGGTTTGAACTGTCAACTTTCTGGTTAGCAGTCAGTTGCCTTAGGCACTATGCCCCAGAGCTTCCCCAGCCCCTTGCAGCTACTGAGAACACTTTGTTTGTATGCATTTGCCTGTTTTAGAGATTTCACTGACATGAACTCATAGGATACTTGTCCTTTTGTGTCAGGATAATGTTTTCAAGGTTTATCCATGTCATAGCATGTATCAGAATTTCATTTCTCTTTGTGGCTGAGTAATATTCCACTGTATACATACACCATATTTTGTCGATCCATTCATCTGTTGATAGACCCCTGGGTTGTTTCCACCTTTTGGCTATTGGAAATAATGCTGCAATGAACATTGGTATACAAGTATGTGTTTAAGTCCCTACTTTTAAGCCTTTTGGGCCTATACCTTGAAGTGGACTTGCTGTGTTTAACTTTTTGAGGAGCTGTTCTAGTTACCTAGTGCCACTCTGACAAGAATATACCACAAATGGCATGGCCTTAACAAACAGGAGTTTATTCTTACAATTGGAGGCTTTAAGTCCAAGTTCAAAGTGCCAAGCTCTAGGGGCTGGGTGAAAACCCTTCAACCTTGGGGTCCAGCTCTGCCTCCTGCTCCTGGCCCACTGGAGCTAGAGGCATTTTTTCACTCAGACAGCCGCTGGCTGCTAAGGCTGAGAAGCCCTAAGGTTGACAAGTAAAAAGGCACAGTCCCAATGTTACCAAACCACAGGGCAGGCCATTAACTTAAGCCCATTGTAAGTCTCAAGGTCGGCAGAGCATGGCAGGCTGCTGAACGACGACATGGTTACATGCAGGGTCCAAGCGTGCCATGGGCTAGAGACCATTCTCAAAGCTTCTCCTTCTATACAGGAAGCAGGCCACATACCCAAAGGCAGCCACTCAGCTGCTCATAGTGGATTCCACCATGGAGTTGATTACCAGTCTCATCATGGGGAATACTCCATCCAGCTGCCCAGCCACTCAACCAGGCCCAGCCAAGTTGACACACAAACATAACCACCACAGGAGCCAAAACTGTTTTCCACAGCAGCTGCACCATTCTTCATTCTTAGCAGCAAAGTGGGAGAGTTCCAGTTTCTCCACAGCTGGCCAACACTTGTTCAGTTGTTTTGTTTTTCTCCCCTGATAATACCCATCCTATTAGGAGCTCTGGTAGCATAGTGCCTAAGGCATCTGACTGCTAACCAGAAGGCTGGTGGTTCAAAACCACCAGCCACTCCTCGGAAGGAAGGTTGGACAATGTACTTCCATAGTGATACTGCCTCAGAAACCCAAGGAGGGGTCTATGAGTAGGGTTCCTTTCAACTGGCAGTGAGTTACCCATCCTAGTGGGTGTGAGGTGTTAGCTCATTGTCGTTTTGATCTGCATTTCAATTGGCTAATGAGCTTGAGCTTCTTTTCATGTGCTTATTGGCCATCTGTATATCTTCTTTGGAGCACGTACATTTAACTTTTTGGTAAGTATGATCAAACTATCTTCCCAAGGGGCTGTACTAATTTATACTAAATGTCGGGCCTTCTTCTTCTTCTTTTTTTTTTATTTGGGCCTTGGAAAAATTATTTAAGTAATATGAATATTCCAACTATAGAGGATACAGAAAAAAATATGACTGTCATCCTGTCAGTACCCTCCAATCCTGGTTCCTTGCTCTGGGCTTTTTCAGTGATTTGGGAATTAATCCTTCTCTTTCTATGAATCTATTTATGTTGGTTTATAGTTTGGGGAATTAGTCTCTGCAGAAGGTTTACACTTGCCCTACAATCTTACTTTCTCATTCAATAAAATATTTTAGAATTTATTTATGTCCATACTTTTAAAAGCTAAGCAGTCTATTCTTTTTCCACTGACTTAAACAATCACATATCAATTTAATTTAAGAGATATTCAGGGCTATTTCTGAACCCTTTCTCTCACTCTACTGATTAATTTGCTTATTCCTGTGCCAATTGTATCCTGTTTTTGTGTCTGATTATCTACTACGTCGAATATCTCACCGGTTTTTATAAAACATATTGATGATGAACTTTAGACTTTTAAGGTTCTATTAAAAAATCCTTTTGGGTGGCAATGAATTTAAGGATTATACTGAAGAGAATCCCCATCTTTTAACAATGAGTCTTTCCTATCATATACCTAGTATATTTCTCCATTTAGAAATATACATTATCCATTATCCTTCAGAACAGAAATATAATTTTCTCCATATAGGTCTTATAAGTTCTGGTAGCATAGTGCCTAAGCCATTTAACTGCTAACCAGAAAGCTGGCAGTTCAAACCCACCAGTCACTCCTCAGAAGGAAGGTTGGGCAATCTACTTCTGTAGTGATACCACCTCGGAAACCCAAGGAGGAGTCACTATGAGTCGGGTTCGACTCGATGGCAGTGATTTTGGTTTGGTAATATAGGCCTTGCATGTTCCTTGTGAGATTTCTTTGTAGTTTGTGGGTTTTTTTATTATTGTGAACGGAATCCTTTCCCCCCCTAATATATTCTCTAATTTGCTATTGCAATATACAGGAAAGATAATAATGTTTGGCCTTATAATCTGTAAAAGGATAAAAGTAGAAGTAAAAGATTTCCATGGTCAAATAAACACAGGCTGTAGCTGTTAGGTGTTTTAGTTGATTAACACTCATCATGACCCCACGTGACAGAGAACTGCCTCACAGGGCTTGTCAGTTCTTTCTCCCGCAGAGTGTCTGGGTGGGTTCAAACTGTCAACCTTTCCATTAACAGTGACAGTGGCAAACCAGGGCTTCATCAAGCCCAGTAGAGTTGTTCATTGCAGGGCTCCTTGAAGCTTTAATACACTTTTGATCACCAAGAATCCCCAAGAAGGGCATGCAAGGAATTTCCTGTACTTTCTTAGCCATGGAGGCCTTTGTCATAAGACATCATAACGGGACTGGTGTATTCTGAAACATACACCAGTTATGTTTTAGGCAACAATGCCCAACCCAAGCCATGGTGTTTTCAATCACCTCATATGCATGTGAAAGCTGGACAATGAATAAGGAGACCGAAGAAGAGTTGATGCTTTTGAGTTGTGGTGTTGGAGAAGACTGAAAGTACCCCGGACTGCCAGAAGAACTACCAAATCTGTCCTGGAAGAAGTGCAGCCGGAATGCTCCTTGGAAGCAAGTGGCCAGACTTCCTCTCACTCACTTTGGTCATTGTCAGAAGGGACTATTCCCTGGAGAAGGATGTCATGCTTGGTAGAGGGTCAGTGAAAAAAGGGAAAACCCTGAAGGAGATGGACTGACACAGTGGCTGCAACAATGGGCTCAGGTGTAAAGTGTTGTGAGGCTGGCACAGGACCAGGCAGTCTTTTGTCCTATTGTACAGAGGATCGCTGTGAGTCGGAGCTGACTCAATGGCACCTAACCACAACAACAGTCCAAAACAAAGACTCTTCTGGTATCTAATTTGTAAATGCAGGGGTCTTCACTGAACCTCATCTGGTGTCTGATGCCCAAACTCCCACTCCCGCCCCAACCAGAACACAGGACAACCCAGCTCAGAGTGAATGCTTTAATGACTGTTGCTTAGAGAGAACCTTGTGTTTCAGCGGCCACTGCCAGGCCGCACTGTCCCCAGCTCTGTGGGTAGGCTCTGGTGAACCAGCTGCCACAGGCAGGGATCAGGAGTCTAAGGAGTAAGCTGGGGCAAAAGGAGGTTCAGGAGGCACCCTGTAGGGGCTTGGCTTCTGGGAGTGTGACTGAGGTGGGATGGGCCTCAGGCTGGGCCCTCTTCAGGCATTCCTAGCAAAGCCACAAGGGGCTCCAGGGGCGTGGGGGTCCCAAGGGGCACCGGGTGTGTGCGTTGGTGCTTGCGGAGGTCGCTGGCACTCAGGAAGCCCTTGGGGCAGTGAGGGCAGGTGTAGGGGCGCACAGAGCTATGGGTGCGGCTGTGTTTGCGCAGCCCGGCCCGGTCAGAGAAGCTCTTCCCGCACTGGGTACAGGGAAAGGGCCGGAGCTCGGGGTGCGAGCGCTCATGCCGCCGCAGTAACGTCAGCGTGGAGAAGGCCTCCTTGCACTCCCGGCACGCAAACTGTGGGGGCTTCTCGTCCACCTCCTCACTCCCCGCCTCACCTGACCCTCCCAAGGGACCAGACGCCTCCCCGGAGCCAGCATTCTGGCTCTCCACGTGCTCCACCGTCATGCCCACTACTTGCCACTGTGTGGCCATCACCCCACTTGACTCCGGAGGCAGCCCTAGCAGCCCTGCCGGAGGGTCCCCGAGCCCCGTACCAGCTGCTGGTGCAGCCGAGCCCTCGCCGGCCACACCAACAGGCAGTGCCAGTCCCACTACCAGCTCCTGTTGCGGGGGAGCCCCTGCGGCCTCGCTGCTTCGGTGGGTCCGCTCGTGCTTCCTCAGGCTTGACGACACCACGAAGGACTTTCCGCAGGCGTTACAGTGGTACGGGCGCTCCCCCGAGTGCACTCGGCTGTGCTTGGTGAGGCTGGCTCGTTCGGCGAAGGCCCGCCCGCACTCCTCACAGCGGAAGGGTCGCTGGCCCGAGTGGACCAAGGCGTGTCGCTTGAGGTCCCAGGACGCCACGAACGTCTTGTCGCACTGCAGGCACTTGAACGGCCGGTCGCCTGTGTGCACGCGGCGATGCATGGCCAGGTCGGCGGGCTGCCGGAAGTCCTTGCCGCACTTCTCGCAGCGGTAAGGCTTCACGCCCTCGTGCGCCCGCTGGTGGCGGCGGAAGCTGGAAGGGTCGGAGAACATGCGGCCGCAACGCGGGCACAGGAAGGGCTTCTCGCCAGAGTGCGTGCGTTCATGGCTCTGGTAGGAGCTGAGCTGCGTGAAGCCCTTGCCACAGGCCGGGCAGCGATAGGGCTTCTGCGCCGCGTGGATGCGCTGGTGACAGGTGAGTGAGGACGAGCGTGAGAAGCTCTTCCCACACTCAGAGCAGAGGAAGGGGCGCTCGCCGGTGTGGGACCTGTGGGAGAGGCCCAGGCGTGAGGATGACCCTGCTCCCTGTGTGGGCTGCAATTTAGGGGCCCCTGGTGGCGTAGTAGTGCCTAAGGCATTTGACTGCTAACCAGAAGGGTGGCGGCTCAAACCCACCAGCCACTCTTAAGAAGGAAGACTGGGCAATCTACTTCCGTAAAGATTTACTGCCTCGGAAACCCAAAGGGGGTCACTATGAGTTGGAATCGACTCCATGGCAGTCAGTTTTTTGGTAACATCCTTGGGGGCCTTGGCATAATCCCCTAAGGACGACAGGACTGCATCCCAGAATAAGAAAACTTCAGACTTTAGGGGCTTATGGGCTGAAATTCCAGATAAGACCCTCAGCAGACCAAAGACCTAGACAGACCTTTCTCACCTCCACCCAAGACCTTTTGAGCTGCCCCAATTCTAGCCCTGCCCCCTTTCCTGCTCTCTAGGAACCCAGGCCAATCAGACCTCACCCCAGACCAACGCAGTTGGAGTTTCCCACCCTCACGCCCCACCTGGGTCCAGCTGCCACCAGCTTCTCTCCGGTGTCCACCCCTTCCCATAGTTCCGCCTACCCACCTTCCCACTGGCTCACTCCAAACACTCTTTGAGGCAACCCTGGACTCATTGGTCACAGGCAGCCATTGTAGTCCCACTTCCGCCCCATCTGCCAGCTCCAGGCCCTCACCTCTCGTGGTTGCGGAGGTCCTTGAGCTCAGCGTAGGCCTTGCCGCAGCGCTCACAACTGTAGGGCCGCAGGCCGGCGTGTGTGCGCCGATGCTTGCGGAACACCGAAGGGTCTGCGAAGCTCTTGCCGCAGTCGGCACAGGCGTAGGGCCGCTCGCCGGTGTGGCCGCGCTGATGGATCTTGAGCTTGGAGAGCGCGCCGTAGGCCTTGGGACAGTGAGTGCAACGGAAAGGCAACTCGCCGGCGTGCGAGGCCAGGTGCACGCGCAGGCACACGGGCTGCATGAAGCGGCGGCCACACTCGGGGCACGGGAAGGGCTTCTCGCCCGTGTGGCTGCGCCCGTGACTGCGCAGCTCAGGTGCCGTCTTGTAGGCCTTGGGGCACAGTGGACACGCATAGGGCCGAGGCTTAGCCGCTGCACCTGACACCTTGTCCCCACTGGCCTCTTCCGGCTTGGGTTCCGCTTCCGGCTTTGGCTTGACCTCGGCCATCTCCTCTTTACCACTTTCAGATCCATGTGTGGCAGCGTGCCGCGCGGCCCTGGGGGCATTTGGAAAGGTCTTGGTACATGACAGGCACTTGTAGCGGCGGCCAGAGCGCTTGTAGCCTGGGGCTGGCGACAGGGCCTCTGCAGACTCCACCTCCATGGCCTTGGTGGGCGGGGCTTCTCTGTGAGAGAGGCAATGTTAGACAGAAGCCCTATCCCTGCGCCAGTTCTCCAAGGCCTCTCTTTAGCAAAGCGCTCTCAAGGCCTCAGAGGGAACCCTACCTTATCTGCATTTCCCACCCAAGGCTTCTCAGCCTGAACCATGGGACCCCAACTTCCTTTTTTTCCCAAGCACTACTGGCTCTGACAGCCCACACCCAAGTTTCCCCTCTCATCCACTCACTGATGAAGGAAGGTTGGACCAGGGGACCTCAGAGGGGCGAAGCACCAGAAGGGTCACCTACACTTCCCTTTCCCAATCTCTGGCCTTCTCCAAACCCTGACATTCCCAGAGGGCCAAGGGTCCGTCTGTTCCACCATCTTCCTTCTTTAGCTCAGTGGCCAATGCCAAGCAAGGCTGTGGATATAGAGGGTACCCAGAGGGAAGCCTAGCCTGAAGGTCTCCGAGTGCCCAGGGCAGACAGACCTGAACCCAGAGGAGGGTGGCACCATCTGTCTGGCAGCTACACGTCCCCAGCATGTGTTTTGTCTTTCTCCTCTGGTTGGTTAGCTCTTGAGGCAGCAAATGTTCACACAGTATTCTGGCCTTGCACAGCTGTAAGGGACTCCACCCTAGACAGGAATCCTGGTCCACCCTGTGCTCTAGATTCCGTCTGCCTTCCGCTCCCATACCCCTGCCAATGGGGAGCTCATTCTCTCACAAGGCAGCGTCAGCCATTGCTGGCAATGAGATGTCTCGAGACATAATCCATGTATCTGATCTAGCAGGGGTTCCTGGCACACCTGCTGTGAGACCCCTGCTTTCTTGGTCCAGAACCAGGCACTCTCCACCCAGATGCTCCTGCGGATCATTGTTGGAAGGAAATAGGATTGCTGCTGTGTTAGTCTTAACACCAGCTCATCCTCCCCGGGGATGAAAGGAAGAGGATTACGTCTGATCCACTTAGGGAGGGCTCAGCAGCAGCTGCTGGGGGGTGGGGGGTGGGAGTAGGGGAGGGTATTGGTGTGGAGAGGGGAGGAGAGCCAGGTATACACAGAGACTAGGCTGGGAGGTGAGAGCCCTCGATTCTACTCCCAGCCCTTTGATAACTTGCTGTAAAATGAGTGCTCCTCTTAAGGCCTCTTTTCCCTCATCTATACTCTGGTTGGGAGCGCTGATAGCATAGTGACTAAGGCACTTGACTGCTAACCAGAAGGCTGGCGGTTCAAACCCACCAGCCACTCCTCGGAAGGAAGGTTGGGCATTCCTACTTCCGTAGTGATACTGCCTCAGAAACCCAAGGAGGGGTCACTATGAGTCAGGTGTGACTCGACGGTACACAACAACAACATACTCTGGTGGCATAGTGGCTAAGGCACTTGACTGCTAACCAGAAGGCTGGCGGTTCAAACCCACCAGCCACTCCTCGGAAGGAAGATGGGGCAATCTACTTCCGTAGTGATACTGCCTCGGAAACCCAAGGAGGGGTCGCTATGAGTCGGGTCCGACTCGACGGCACATAACAACAACAACAACAATAGACCTCAGGACTTGGTGGTTTCTAAGTAAAGACATTGGGGGAGGCTGGAGCTGAGCTGTCCAGGAGGGTGCTGGGGAAGTACAGGTCTCTAGACCTTGCCCCAGGAAAGGACTGTGGGAACAGCTTGCCTGGTTGACCAGGGAGAACACAGGAGCCACCAGGCTGAGTGCATCCTGTTTGGCCTGGTGGACCTGCCTCAGTTTCCCCTCTTCCCTGTGCACCATCTATTTTTTAAAGTATGTACTGCAATTTGGGTAAAAGTTTACAGAGCAAATTCATTTTCCATACAGCAGTTTACACACATTTTGTGTCATGACATTGACTGCAATTACCCACAATGTAACAGTTCTCTCCCTACTTCCTCCCGGCAGTTAACCTCTTCCCTGTGTCCTTCCCTCCCATGCACTCCCACCCCCAGAGCTGGCTCCCTATGCGAATACTGCCCTTCTCTTCTCCCACAACTGATTGCTCCAAGGTGTGTCTCTACCTGATGTAAATATTCACCCCATATGGCTGTCTGTTGTTTGGCTGGAAGCCACAGGAGTGAGTTCAATTCCAGACCAGAAGGGCAGCTAGGGGCCACAGTCTCAGGGGTCTCAACAGGTGCTATCAGACCAGCAAACCTGGTCTTTTTTCTTTTTCTTCTTCTTTTTTTTTTTTTTAATGATTTTGAGTATTTTTCTACATTGTTCTCCCACTCTATCCAGGATCTCCTGCACTGATCCCCCTCCGAGTGGTTGACAGTGGTAGCCAGGCACCATCTAGTTCTTCCGGTCTCGTGGTCATATAGCCCCAGACCCAATCTAAATATTCACAGGCATTGGCCACAGTCGTCTCCCTAAAGCACCATGGGATGCTCTCTGTCCTATGATCAAGAACTTCCATGCTTCCCATCGTATCTTTCAAGTTCCCAGAAACTTCCTGGCTGCTCCAAATCCCACTTCGTTTGAGCCCCACCTCCCCTGGGAAGCTCTTTCTAAATCCCCCTCTGGGTGTCCTCAATCCGACACAACCGTGTTTACCATCATCTTGGTTACTTTACTTTTATCACTAAATCCTGGGGCTGAAAAGGTGAGTCAAAGGGCTTGAGGTCCGATCTCCCCCACGGCTTGAATTCCTTCCCTAGTTTCTAAGGGATCCCGCCTCCTTCCTGGATGAGGCGCTCCTTCCCTTCCTTCCAGACGCCCTCTGCCAGATGGAAGATTCCTCTTTAATAAAAATGATAACTCACATCGGCTGAGCAGTTGCCAAATAGCAGGCAGTGTCCTAAGCTTTTTACAGGTTGTAACTCACTTAACCTTGATATCATCACTATGAGGAAAGTTCTATTAGAAGCCCTGTTTCACAGATAAGGGAACTGAGGCCCAGATGGTGGTATAGCATCATGGTTACATGCACCAAGTCTTTGAAACCAAACTGCCTGGCTTGGAATCCTGCCTCCACCATTTCCCAGCTGATGGGGCCTTGGGCAATTTACTTTACCTCTCAGGACCTCAGTTTTCTCATCTGAAAAGTGGAGCTAATAATAGTACTTACCTCAAAGGGTTGGGTGAGGACTGAATGAGGTAAGAATAATTATTGAGTCTTCTTAGAGACAAGCACCCTACTCAGCATGCTAACGTAGTTACTCATAGCTTCCGAAATGAGGATTCCTGTTATTTTATAGACAAGTAAACAGGTCCCAAGAGCTTGTCCTCCATCACACAGCTAGTAACCCTTGTGGCTGGGACTTGACTCCAGGTCTACTTAATTTGCCTTCTTTTGAGCCCTGCTCAGTCATCTGGGGCCTCCAAACTTTGCTGCCTGGGCACAAGGGCTAAGTAGGCTAGGCCACTGCTTAGAATCTCACCATTAACTCCACTCTTCACTGTTTACTGAGAATTCTTCCTACTACCATTTCCCTAGAGTGAGGTCTCTCCCAGTTAGGTCTGTGAAACTCCTGCATCAGAGTCATCATCTAGGGGCTTGAGAGAGAGCTCCCACTCTGTACTTTAAACCACATTTCTCAATCATTCCTATCCAACACTTCAGAATTAAACACTCATCCCTGGGTCTTCACAAGCTCCTAAGAGGGAAGCTTTTTTTATTTTTTTCCCCTAATATTTTACTAGGAACTCTGGTAGCACAGTGCCTAAGGCATCTGACTGCTAACTAGAAGGTTGGCAGTTCAAACCCACCAGCCACTCCGTGGAAGCAAGACTGGACAATCTACTTCTGTAAAGATTTACCATCTCAGAAACCCAACAGGGGTCACTATGAGTCAGAATTGACTTGACAGCAGTAGGTTATTATTTAATTGTGTTTTTGGTTTCCATAGCAGTTTAGGTTCCTATTCAACAATTTATACACATGCTATTTAGTGACATCAGTTACAGTCTTCACAATGCATGAATATTATCTCACTTCCATTCTGGTTGTCCTGTTTCCATTAATCTAGTTTCCCTGCCCCTTACATTCTCATTCTTGGTTTAAAGTAATTGTTGACAGTTTAGTATCATACAGAATACAAAGGAGTGTAGTATTTACAGGTGATAGTCATTATTTTTTAAGCCAATTTGTTAATTTAGCTACAAGGTGACCTCAGGGTTAGTTTCAGTTGAAGGATTGATGAGTATCTCAGGGCAATAGTCTTGGGGAGTTCTCCAGTCTCAACCAGTGAGTAGGACTTTTGTTCTGTTTAATTTTTAAGAATTTGAGGTTCTGTTCCACATTTTTCTCCCATTCCACCAAGGTCCATCTCTTGTGGCCCTGATCGAACTGGTTGTTGGTAGTAGCCGGGCACCACTCTTCTGGTCTCAGGGTAGATAAGTCCATGGTTCATGTAGACTATTTGTCCTGTAGACTAGTTTCTTCTCTGAGTCTTTGGTTTCCTTCTTTCTTTTTTGCTCCAGACAAGTACCAAACAATAGTTGGATGTCAGATGGCCATTCACAAGCTTTTAAGACCCCAGATGCTACTCCCCAAACTAAGATGTGGAACATAACTTTATATTATGCCAAATGACCAAAATGTCCCATGAGACTATGGTCCTTATTCTTCAAACCCAGAAACTGAATCCCTAGGTGCTGGTTATATCTAGACAGTATCTATAACTATACACATACAAGGAGCTCTGGTGGTGCAGTGGTCAATGTTTTAGGCTGCTAACCAGAAAGTTGGTGCTTTGAACCCACCAGCCACTCTGCAGGAGAGAGATGAGGCAGTCTGCTTCCATAAAGATTCATGGCCTTGGAAACCCTATGGGGCAGTTCTACTCTCTCCTAAAGGGTTGGTATGAGTTGGAATCAACTAGGTGGCAGTGGGCTTGGTTTTTTTTGCCTAATACATATACATACACATATATAAACCGCATATATATGTATTTTTGGGTTGATTTTGCTATTGCTTCAAAATTATATAAGCCATAGCAATTACCAACAGGTCCTTTTTTCTTGCGTACCTTTAGTGACATCATTTACTTTTACCAAGCTGCATGCTCCTCACA